CTTAACGACTGAGCCACCCAGGCGCCCCTGATCTCTGTTTTCTTGAGGTAGCTGAAGATCCTCTGCTGTGAGTGAGGACAAAGAAAGGTTTGGGGCAGCATCTATAGTAATAGGATGAGTCAAATGTTACTGAGGAGTGTGTAAGATTGGGTAGAAATCAGGAGGATTCAGCAGGTCAGGGGGCCCAAGCTGGAAGGGGCTGAGGAAGGTGAAGACAGATTTGAAGGGGCAGTTGGCCCTCTAGAGTCAGACAGGTATAATTCAAATCCCAGCTCAGCTGCTTGACAGCTGACTCCCTGCCTCCTCGCCTGTAAGAAGGGCCTCGCTGGGTGGTGCTGGGGACGATATAAGGTGAGATGTGTAAATGTTCAGGGCAGTGCTGTCCTATCATAGCACTCAGCTATTGGTGAGTGTTCTATTATTATTGCCCAACGGATGCTTGGAGCTGAGAGCCAGAGAGCAGAGGAGGGAAGAGGCGGGGCCAGGAGTGGGGCCACAAGAATGGGATACCGATAGGAATTTTGGTGCAAAATGTGGGTTTCTCTGTCTGGCCCTCGCTCCCCAGGCACTGAGAGGGTACAGCAGAGGCAGTGGGATCCCAGTGCGAGGCGCTGGGGGAGGCTGAGGGGCACTGGAGGGTGCAATGCCCAGGCAGCACCCAGCACCACCTCTCTCCAGCTCCTAGGAGCCTGGGGCTTTAGTCAAGACCATTGCTGGGAACTGGCAGCTACTGTTGGAAAGGAAGGTACAGGTCAGGTGGAGCTAAAGTGCTTATAAAACCACATGGGCAGGGGTGTGCAGTAACAACTCATGCCTGCGAAGGCCAGTATAAACAGGATCTTACTGCAGGAGAAGCTGAGGAACAGGAAGAGCCTCTGGACCTGCACCAGAAGGTAGAAGATGCCATCCTATGTGATCCCTGTGCAGGCAGAGTTAGCTCCGGAGTGGGGATGGAGTCCTGACTCCTATAGGGGCATTACATCTGTTCTTTTGCTTTTGAAAAAGGCCACCCCGACTTCTCTGCAGGCATGTGAAAAATCTTGTTTTAAGGCTCTTCTGAAAAGGCTCTCCTCCTCTTCAGGGGAAGCCTTGTTGAGAGCAGAGGTTCTTCACCTTCCAGTTACAGCAGACATTTAGAACCACCTGTCTGGGGCCCATCCCCGAGGAGTCTAATTTAAATGATCTGTGTGCATTCTGTTCCTGGGAGTTTACAATTTCCTCAGGTTGTTCTCATACATAGCTGGATTTGAGATCCACTCCTATGGAGGCTAAATACCCCCACACAGCAGAGTCTAGAAGTGTGGAAAGACATGGGCTCAAATTCTGGCTGTTCACTGTGTGACTCTGGGCAAGTCACATAACTTCTCTGAGGCTCAGTTACATCATCTGAACAACAGGAATAGTGTGTGCCTTCCTAAGCCTGCTGGATGGATGAAATAAATATGTAGAGTCACAGGACAGAGGTTCCTGCCACAACACCATCAAAAATTCTCCTCTGAACTGAAATGATGTTAGGCCCTTTTCTCTAATTCTACTCTCAATAAATTTGGAGAAGAGAGGATCCAGTTTTAATCATGTTTACTTAAAACTGAAGCTTCTGAACTGAACTGGTTATGTTTTGCACAGTTGGTCCCTGACTTCCCCAGTTCTCCTGTCTCCTATCCAGGCAGCTCTTCAAATGCCAGGAAATGCTCTGCTCTCCAAAAACTCCCTCCAGGAACTGCTTTTCCTCTAAATGCCCCCCTGACCCCAGTGCAGGGGGGTTTAGCCCAGAACACACCCCACTGCACTTCCCAAGCCAAGGCCAACCATTGCGGTAGCCCTTCTGGTCCTGCAGTGCTTAGATCTGACAGGCAAGTATGGATCCATCATCAGTAGCCAGGGACTGGAGGCTGCCTGTGTGTGCCCTTCTGTTCTTGGTCTGCTGATGGGAAAGAATCCACAGGGGCTGTTGGCCTCCCTGTTTAGGATCTGACAATGTGAAATATGGGTGTTTGTGCTTGAGCTGTAATTTCTAGAGTTGATTATTAGAATTTGTAAAGCCCTCTGACTTTCTAACATCCCCCTTAGAAATATGAATTGAAGAATTCTTGGACCGAGAATAGAATGGCCAACCCATCCACAGGCTGCTGATTTCCTAATGCTTGAAAGTCATCAGCAGCCAGTGTATATTACTGATCTCTTTGAGCTACAGAGATACACATAGCCCTGCAGGTAATGTTCATTCCTAAGGGGCAAAGAAAGCACCCAACTGTTCAATATAGACCTCAGCTCATGCAGATGTTTGGCAAGCATTAAGAAATAGCATCTGCTCACTTAGATGGGTCAAGGTGAGGAACAGTTTCTGCCAAAAAAGTAAAAAGAGGAGTGCGGGTTATAAAATTTTAAAACAGAAAGAGATGTTTACCTGAGTATTCAGTCACTTTTCTTGAGCATGTGTGCCTCCTGAAGAAGGAGCAGAGACTTTATTATGGTCAAGGAGAGGAGTGAAAAAAGAGAATTGTAGTAAGTCTTTGTCACTTAAAAAAAATTTGCTCATCATTCAAAAAGCATTTACTGAGTACCTGCTAAATACAAGAGAGTATTAGTATACAGTTTCCCCCTTATTTGCAGGGGATACATTCCAAGACCCCGGGTGGATGCCTGAAATTGAGAATAGAATCAAATCCTATATATACTATGTTTTTTCCTATACATACATACTTATGATAAAGTTGAATTTATAAATTAGTCACAGTAAGAGATTAACAACAATAACTAATAATAGAAGAACAACGATAACAATACACTGTAATAAAAGTTACGGGAATGTGGTCTTCTCTCTCAAAGTTATCTTATTGTGCTGGACTGGCCCTCCTCCTTCTTGTGATAATGTGAGATGCTAAAATGCCTAGGGGAGGCGTGAGGGGAATGACGCAGGCACTGTGTATTGACCTTCTGATCGTATATCAGAAGGAGGACCATCTGCTTCCCTCCGGGTCACAGGTAACTGAAATCCCAGCAAGCAAGATCTCAGATAAGAGGGATGATGGTATAGCTTCTGCATCCTGGGGGGTTCCATCCACACCCCTCCCCCTTCCTTACCACCCCGGCATGTTTCTATTGATGACTTGGTTCTGGTCTCTCAGGACAGAAACCAGCCCTGTCTGGAACTGGCTTTGATTCTCCCCCGTCTTGCCAACAGCCACCCTCACACCGCCTGTGATGGAGGTCACCAAGGATGGCTTCTACCTGGTTATTAAGCTGGAAGACCTGGGGCCCCAGTTTGAGTTCCTTGTGGCTTACTGGAGGAGGGAGCCTGGTGCCAAGGTAAGACTTCCAGCCTTGGCCTTGGAGTCAGGCCTCAGGGAAAGAGACACAGACCTCTGAGAGGTGGGTGAGGAAAGCTGTCCCCTGAAGTGCTCACTGTCTAGGGGTAGCCTGAGCACGAGCAGACCTGGGTGCGGGGTGGGAAAGGAGAGATGTGAGTACACTGACAATCCTAGAGTCTCCTCTTCAAAGAATTGCCTGGGTCCACCGCAGGCTCAGGCCAAATTTGCTGAAGTATGGGGGTTGCCTCTTTGCCCTAAACTCGAACACAGTACGATCCAGAGTACCTTTCAGTGCATTTCTTCTCCCTCCTCAGCCTGGCTTCTCAGCCATTCTCCCTGGCAGGTTTAGGTGCAGCAGACCAGGGTGTTCCAGATCATCTAGATGATTTCAACAGCGTATGAAACTGGCACAAGCCTCTCGAGGGTGTGTATCTGGGTAGGGTGCAGAAGTCAGGGCAGAGAGCCAGGAGCTGGCTTGTGAATAAACCTGTCTGATTATCAGCTAATTGGCCACCCAGAATGCCTAGGTGGGGCACTGCCCATCCTCCTGTGGCATAGTTGGCTGCAGACTGGGATGGGTGGGATGTCCACACTCCCAGAGTGATTGGCCAAACAAACAGAAGGGCTAGAGCTTGAGCAGGAACTGAGGGATAGTCAGACCTGTTGGAGACCCTGTCCGAGATGATTTGCAAAGGCTATTCCTGCCAGCACAAGGAAAACAGGTTTTATTATAAGTCCGGATAGGATGCAGTAAGGGGCTTTCACGGAATCTATGAACAGAGCTGGCCTAGGCTACCCCTGACCTCATAGCAGTATCTGGGGTGCAAAGCACATGTCCTACCACCTACTTGACAGGGACGATCCCCTGAAAGGTGATATGTGTAGGTGGGGCAAGCAATAACAATGGTTTCCGGTATTTACTCCTGCTGGGTCAGGGCCCAGCGGTAGGACAGGACCTTGCCAGCCAGGCAGATGGAGTAGTATGGGGGACAGATCAGGACCTGGGCAGGAGGAAGCATGCAGCTCCCTCAGATTCTTTGGGATGGAGCCCACTCCCCACCCTCAGTAACAGGCAGGGCCAGCGCCGGGAGAGGAGCATGTACCCTGAGTCATAGGGGCTTGGCCCAGACAAGCCTCCACAGGTTCAAACGTGGAGCCCAGGCTTCCGTGGGCGGGTGGAGATGGAGGGGAATACAGATGGATGGACAGGTGGGTAGATGGACGAACGCAGGAGGAGACATAGCCCGCCAGCTCCACTGCTCCTATGCACTGATCCCCGAGGCAGCACTGGCCATGCCAAGCCCCCCGCTCATCAGGTTTCTGACCTTCAGGTGTTCGTGCAAATGTGACCCTATCAGAGAGGACTTCCCTAACCACTCTGCTTAGTGCCTCCTTCTCATCCTACCTCCTTGCCCTGCTTGCTTTTGTTTCACAGCCCCATCACCCCCTGACATGTGTCACACATTGTCTGTCTCCCCCCACATCAGCTCCACAAGAACAGGGACTTTGTTTTGTTCAGTGCTATATTCCTCAGGGCCTACAATAGAAACTGGCATGTAGGAGGTGCTAAATAAATAAATAAATAAATAAGAATGAATGAATAAATGAATGAGAGGGAACATTCTCGATGCATCCCAGAAAGGAAATATCTAGAACTTTCCTTCCTTGGCTCTTCTTGCCCTTTCCTGTCCTGCTTCCCCCAGGCTGTAACTGTTTTCTGGTCTCCTAAAGGAACATGTCAAAGTGGTGAGGAGCAGGGGCATTCCGGTGCACCTGGAAACCATGGAACCAGGGGCTGCATACTGTGTGAAGGTCCGGACGTTCGTGAAGGCCATCGGGAGGCACAGCCCTTTCAGCCAGGCAGAGTGTGTCAAGGTGCAAGGTACGGATGGCCTGCCTGTTCCCTGGAGTCCTGCACAGGCCATAGCCCCTCCTGGTGGATGCTTGGCTGCCCGCTGGGGTCCTTTGGTTCTGAGTTTCCCCTAGGGTTCATTGACCTGCCCCCCAGCCGGGTGGGTGTCTGTGGTGAAAGTGTGGTGAAAGTCTGGTTTACCCCGATGGCAACGGCCTGGGAACCAGAGTGGGCTGGGGGGGGCCAGAGAAGCAGCCAGGGGTATGAGAGTCAGACCTTGCAAGGAGGCCCCCTGCTCTATATCACCACTGCTTTCCACTGGAAGGGACCTGGTGGAAAGTCTACAGAGTTCTGTTTGACTTAATTTTTTTTTATATATTTGATTTATTTATTTTAGAGAGAGAGAGCATGAGCAGGAGGGGCAGAGGGAGAGGGAGAGAGAATCCTAAGCAGACTCCGCGCTCAGGGCTAAGCCTGACACGGGATCGATCCCAGGACCCCAAGATCATGACCTGAGCTGAAACCAAGAGTCAGACGCTCAACCGACTGAACCACCCAGGCACCACATCCCTTGAATTTTTTATAGTCTAAAACCCTACAGTGTTAAAAATTCCTTTGAAAAGAAACAAAACAAAACCCCACATCCCACGATTTTGCTGCTCAAATACCACACATTTTTGTGTATAACTTTTTCATCTTTAAAAAATTATTATTTAAAAAATTTAGTACTCTCATATGATTCAAAAAATACAAGATACGTGTGGAAACTCCTTTCTATTCTTCCCCAATCCTTGAAATTCCAGCCCCTCCCCCATAGGTATTAGCTTCTTGTAAATCCTTCTAAAGATTTTTATTTTTATTTTTTTAAAGATTTTATTTATTTATTTGAGAGAGAACAAGAGAGCACAAGCAGGGGTCGCTGCAGAGGGAGTGGGAGAAGCAGACTCCCTGGGAGCCCGATGTGGGATTTGATGCGGGGCTCAATCCCAGGACTCTGAGATCATGACCTGAGCTGAAGGCAGATGCTTAACTGACTGAGCCACCCAGGTGCCCCAACCTTCTAAAGATTTTTAAATGCATAACAAGTAAATGAGAATATATATATATTTCCCTTCTTTTTAGCACAGATGGTACCATATTCTATGCATTGTTCTGGATCTTGTCTTTTTTGCTTTATATATCATAGGTTTTTCCATATTGATAAAGAACTTTCTCATCCTTCCTTACAACCTCAGAGTATATAGTTGTATGGTTGGATAACAAATTTAACTAGTCTTTCATTGATGGGCGTCTCGTTTTTTGCCAATATTTTGCTCTTACAGCCAATGCTTTAATTAATTACCTTGTACATGGATCATTTGGCTGGTGGTGTATATATTTGAAGGATAAATTCCTGGAAGTAGAGCTGCTTGGTCAGAGGCATGCACATTTGAATTGGGACCGCTGTTCCCAGACTGCTCTGCAAGGTGGTGTGATTGTTCCATCACCATCCCTGTATAGACACACACTCTGTGCTTGCTTTTTCACAAATATCACATCCATCATATTTCCACATGGATTTTCTGATTACTATTTTATGCTACTTTTAAAAATCATTTAGGTCAAGTTTGTTAGCGAATTCAAACAACACAGGGGTGCAGCGGGGAGCCTGTTTCTCCCTCTACCTCTGCCTGCCCGCTCCCCCTGCTTGTGCTCTCTCTCTATCAAATAAATAAATAAATAAATAAATAAATAAATAAATAAAATCTTAAAAAAATAATTCAAACAACACAGAAGTATGTAAAGTGAGAGGTGCATGTTCTCCATTCTCCCCCACACCACGCAGGAGGTTTCCTCTGGCAGGTTTGACATTTAATCTTCCCATCATTGTGTGATACCAATGCTCACAGGCACAAATGGGACTGTACTGTGCTTACCATTCTGCACCTTACTTGTTTTCACTTAGAAGTATATTGGGATCATCTTTTCATATCAGTACCTGTGGATCTACCTCATTTTTTAAAGAAGATGCATAATAAGTGAATTTATCGATGTGCCAAAATAAATGTAACCATCCTCCCACTAATAGGTATATTCTGTGCTTTCCAGTCTTGCCACTATATCATGCCGTGGTGAACAAATTGGTTTATATCCCAATTCCCATTTTAATAGCCGACTTCCTGAGCTACCATGCTGATGTCTTATAATATATTAAATGATCTCCTATTTGGGGGAATTTAGATCATTTCTATGTTTTAGGTCATGATGATGATGTTCATTCAGTGACTACTTATTGAGCATTGACTGTGTGCCAAATGCTGGCCTAGTCACTGGGATGTAGCAGGGGAGTCCTTGCCCTCATAGGCACTTATCCTCTAGCTGGGGAGACAGGCTACAAACAAACAAGTAAACAAATGAGTTAGTTTCACTTGGTGGTACGTGCTATGAACAAAACACACCAGAGCATACCTGGAGGTGGAGGTATGCCACTGTGCGTGGACAGAGACTGGTTGTGAGGCTGTTGCCCTAATCCAGATGTTGCTAGGAACTGCTTTAGGCATATAATTGTTTCCTTCCTTGAAATTATTTTTTGGAAGCCACTCAGAGGAGTAAATGAAAGGGTATGAACGTTTGTTTATCTCTTGACGTGTACTGCCGAAGTATTTTCCAAAAGCATTGAAAGTACAGTGCCCCCCGGCTACCTATGTGATAACACCATCTTCTCTGCGGCCTCCTTGGCCATGCGCCCTTCACGTGGTGGGTGAGTAGTCTGAACTAGGGCTGCAGGAGTTGCTCCATGTTACATAGAACAGAAAGATGGGGACGTAATCGATCACCCCTTCTGCATCTCTAGATGCTCACACTTGGCACTTTCCGATACATTTACTTAGTAGAATGACCCTGGGCTTTGGAGCCAGAGCTACCCGTGTGACCCGGGGTAAGTCACATAACAATTAGCAGGGGCTTGATAGATCGCAGTTACCCCGTGACTGTTCTCTGAAGTCAGGTTTCCTCCACAATGTGAGTCAATGCCAAGAGCAAATTGTGAAACACATTTTGTTTTCACTTACCATCCAGCTCCCTTCGGTGCTGTTCTCTCCCGGCCCCTCCCCCTCATCCTGCCGGGGGTCCTGGCACTCTGCCTTCCTCCCGGCAGTTGCGCCGAGGTACGTGCTAACACGTACAGCCCTTTAGCTACACGCTAACAGCCCTTAAGCGCAGTTAAGCGCAGCTAGTGGCTTAACTCCCTTTCCCTTCCCAAGAACAAGAGTTAGTCTCCCCTGGGGCTTTCTGGAAACAACGTCTTCCTCTGAATTCTAAAAAAAAATGGCTTTAATGGTGGTAATTTTAGTCACTAAGGCATATATCAAATCTCAGGATGTCTGCATCTGCCATCTTGGCCGACATGCAGAGCCAACTCCAGTGAAGTGAGAGAGGCCAGGATTGGTGAGTTCATCTTCACCGTTGTCTCCTAAGAGTGCCCTTATCTTTTCATCTCTAGGAGAGACCCTCCCCCTGGCGCTGGCCCTGTTTGCGTTTGTTGGCTTCATGCTGATCCTTGTGGTTGTGCCCCTTTCCATCTGGAAAATGGGGCGGCTGCTCCGGAACTCCTGTTGCCCCGTGGTGGTGCTCCCCGACACCCTGGTAATGGTATTCTTTTTTCCTTTTGGCATGACGCTGACCAGATGCAGTTTGAGCCTTAGTCTGTGGCTTTACAAGCATTTGCACAAAGAAAAGAGAAGAGGATTTATAGAAATTCACTTCTAATCAGTGGGGCTAGGAGAGAACCCCCTTCTCCAGGGAGTGGTGACCTTCCTCAGGCTCCGGTCAGGCCACTGATGCTTGCCCTTAGGACCTGGCCCAGCCAAGAGAGCAGGTGTGTTACACCAGCCAGGACGCTCGGCATTTCAAGAGTCACGCGCAGCCTTACTCTTCTAGACTGGCCTGCAAGGATTCTTGGTCCCTTGCCATAATTAAAACAGCAGCTACATCCAGTAGTATGTTCCAACCCAACATATTCAATTCATACGCCAAGAGCCTCATTGGTTCCCAGGGCAAAGTGCATTGTGTGAAGCATGCACTGTGAACACTGGGCCACAGGTTTCAGTCTCCAGTGCAGGTAGGTCCTGTGCCCACCCCAGGGTGGGAGAAAAGCAAAAGCAGGCCTCCAGCAGCTCCCTTTGTTCCATTTTCCTACCTCCTGTGCCCTCCACCCACCCCCAGACCTCAGTACATAAAGCAGCACAAAACAAAACCGAGCAAAAACAAACAAAAACAAACCCATCCCTGTCACCTCAGGGATTTCTCACCATTCTCTCCTGGGAAGAGGGAGGTAGCAGTGGGCTTCTCAGAGGCAACTAGACTCAGAACTGCCTGTAGTTCCTTATCAGCCTGGAGTCACTCTGGAGTCACTCTTGTGATATCTTCATGGTCCTGAGAGTGAGCGCCATGTTCTCCCAGCACGGGGAGTAATCCTCCCTGTGACCCATTCTCCAGGACACCCCTTCACCTTGTTATCCTAACGTCATCTCTCTCTGTTTCTTTCCAGCGCTTCTACATAGTCCTAACTTTAGCCGACACTAGGACAGAGTTAAGCACCAGGCATTGTTCTAAGGCTTTACGTACATTGACTCATTTCATTTTTTCTCTTCCATAATTGCTTACCAATGTGCGTTTCATCAGCGCCCTGCCAGCCACTCTGAATGATTAAATGGTTCACTGCTAACCATGAAGGCACCATGGTCTGGCGAACACAGGGGGGCAGGGTGGGCCTTTTCCCCTTCAGCAAGAACCCCAGGGCTTAAAGTTGCCAGGACCATTAAAGGATGTGTATTCTGCACTTGTTGGAGTAGTGTTTTATAAATATCAGTTGGGTCAAAGTGTTTGATAATCCCATTCAGATATTTTGGTATAGTTCTATTGGTCATTGAGAGGGAGATAACAAAATCTCCAACTAGGAGTGTGGATGTGTCTGTTTCTATGTTCGTCAACTTTTCCTTCATGTATTTTGACACTCTGTTTTGGTTGCATACATTGTTGACATGTCTTCTTCAGTAATTGAGTCTTTTGTCATCATGAAATGTTCCTCTTTATCTCTGGCAATATTCCTTATCCTGTTATCAATATTGCTCTCCACTGTTTACTGTTTGTGTGGCATATCTTCTTTCCACATTTTTACTCTACACGTATCTGTGTCCTCATATTTAAAGTATGTCTCTTGTAGCAGCATATGTTGGTCTTAAAAATGTTTTAAAAAGGGGCGCCTGGGTGGCTCAGTTGTTAAGCATCTGCCTTCGGCTCGGGTCGTGATCCCAGGGTCCTGGGATCGAGTCCCGTGTCGGGCTCCCTGCTCCGCGGGAAGCCTGCTTCTCCCTCTCCCACTCCTCCTGCTTGTGTGCCCTCTCTCGCTGTGTCTCTCTCTGTCAAATAAATAAATAAAATCTTTAAAAAATATTTTCTTTATTTATTTGAGAGAGATGGAGATAGCGAGAGAGAGCACAAGCTGGAGCATGGGGAGAAGCAGGCTCCCCACTGAGCAAGGAGCCCAGTGCGGGGCTCGATCCCAGAACCCTGGGATTATGGTTGAGCCGAAGGCAGATGCTTAACGAACTGAGCCACCCAGGCACCCCTTGATCAGTTTTTTAAAGTTATTATCTGTAGGAGGATTGGTCTGATTGGGGCTCCTCCACTGTAAGTAGAAGCAGTACCCTGGAGTCAAAGAAGAGGTCCTGGACCAACCAAATGATAATGGTAGGGGAGCATCCCTGGCTGAGGTGGTCACAGCTCTTCTTTTCCACATGTGGCAAAAAAAAATTCAGCCTTCCTCAGCTGAACTCCATCAATTAGTCACATTTTTATGGTTTTCCTCTCAACTCTGTTCCTCATGCTTACCCTCTATTCACAGGGTATTCCATTCCTAACACCCTCTCTCATTTTTCTTCTTCTGGGTCTACATTCAGCAGCTCAGTAGAGGTTCCTCCCTACCTCAGGATCAGGGGCACTAGAATCCTTCCAGGACCCATAGTGAGTGACAGAGCAAAGGGCCAGGGAGAGAACCATGTAAAGGGTCAGTTGCTTATAGAATTTCAGGTGCACAAGAAGAGCCCTTAAATGGCTAGAGCTCCTAGGGATCCGAATACATTATGAGCCACAACCTAAACATACCTTTTGGAGAAAACCTAACAATTTTAGAGGAGACCAGAAACAGGGATATTCTATAACAGTGTGTGGCCACTTTCATCCATTGGAAATAGATACCACTACCCTTGACTACCTTTTGCTTCTCTGTTCTCCTTACCATCCTCCCTACATTGTTCTAGTGTCTGTTCTATGTGCATTTCTTTCCATAAGGTTTTTAATTTTTATTGTTTCTCCCTCAATTTTTTAAGTGGACAATTTCTCTGAGTATATGTATTTCCCACAATGCTGTATGAGAAATTGATCACTAGCATCCATTAAATCCCAGATTGTGGAGTTGTATGTCACCACTACCCCCTGTTCTGCCTCAGCCTTGACCTTAGCATAGCCTAGCTGCACTGCAACATTTACCTTAGTTATAGATAATCCTCCAAAGTATTAAAAAGTAACTTCCAGCCATCCTTGCAAAACCCATGCATCTTTCCAATTAAACCATGGGAAATTACCAAGTGGAAATCCTTGACAATTCTTCAAAAATCCCTATTGAGTTTGTAAGTGTTTAATTTATCTGTTTGGATTAAACATTTGCTGTCTACATCTATAATTTCACGGTTGGTGATGGTTACACTCTGAAATACACCATTAAGATTTTCTTTCCATTCAAATTTATATTACCAAGTAATAGTCTAAAGCAAAAATATATATGCAAAGAAAATTACATCAAGAATGCTCAGTGTATAGTCCCTATTTTAAAGTATTATTTATTTTCATTGTCTTTCATCCATAATTTTTTTATGGGGATGGAGGCTTTGGTACTAAAGGGTCTCCCTTTCCTTGCTGTGGCTCACTTTATTCTTTCTCTTTTGCTGTCACATTCCACTATAATGTAGGTAGCAAGCATAAAGATGGCTCCAAGTTAGTCATTCTTCAGTGGGTCATCCCACGTTTGGCTTTGTGTACTTCATAGAAAGTAGAGTTTGTGAGCTCTGATGCCTCTGGGGCCCAGAGAGGTACACACACACAAAGCGTGCACCGCAGTGAACATAATTGGATAGGGGGAGATGGTAGGGACCATGGCAAATGTGTTTCAGCTGAAGAAGGCAGCTGTTTTTCAGCTCTAGCATGTTGTTGCTAATAGGAAATGTGAACCAATGCTACCAGATCTCCAAAGTTGTTTTTTTTTTTTTAGATTTATTTATTTATTTTATAGAGAAAAAGAGAGAGAGAGAGAGTGTGTGTGTGTGTTGGGGAGGGGCAGAGGGAGAGAGAGAGAATCCCAGACTCCCCACTGAGTGCAGAGCCTGATGCAGGGTTTGATCTCACAACCCCGAGATCATGACCTGAGCCGAAATCAAGAGTCAGATGCCCAAGTGACTGAGCCACCCAGGCGCCCTACCAGATCTCCAGGTTTTAAATGAGAAGCCAGAAATCCAAACATTTATGAGAGACCTCCTGATTTTTTAAATGTTGAAAAGTAATTCAAATAAAAAAATCAACTGAACCTTGCTTGAAAGTTTATTCTAACCTATGGGACAACAGTTTTACATCTTCTGAACTTCCGAGATTATGTGTCTCACTTTCATGTTCTAGAACTATGCTGTGACTCTTAACCATATGTGACTCTTAAGCACTTGAAATGTAGCTGGTCCAAATTGAGATGTACTGTAAAGTACACATGGATTTCAAAAAAAGCATTAATGTTTTTATATAGATCATAAGTTAAAATAATATTTTAATAATAAAATGCATTATTAAAATTAATTTCACCTGTTTCTTTTTACTTTTTAAAACGTGCTACTGGAGAATTTTAAATCGTTTATATCGCTCAAATTATGTTTCCATTGAACAGTACTTCTCTAAAGTTAAAAAAAATAATCAAATATAATGACAGCAGATTTAGGTGGCTGGTATCCTAAGGATCTGACTGGACCAGCAGCAGTGAGTTATGGGCTCCACACTGACACTCCCCCTCAGTGAACCCTGTGTGTCCGTGGTCCTTCCCTGTTATTTGCTCATGAACACTGGGCCTGAGCTCCACAGCCGCCTCTTTACAAACAAGGATCAAGGGCCCCTGGCTCCATGAAGCTAGTGTTTCCCAGGACAGAGGTTGAGGAACCTGTTGTGGTTATTTGCTGTGTCCATGCGCCCCTCTTTGGAGTGATGATGGGAAGGGCCATGGGAAAGAACTGTAGAAGAACCTAATGAATTTGGTCGGGGTGAGCAAGCTAGCAACAATGGGGAGAGTCTCTCTGAAATGTTGACACCTGCCTTTTATTGGGGTTGCTGAGAGAAGATTGTAGGAACATGAATATGAGTGGGAAGGGACTCCTGTTTATGGAGTCCCGTCTCTGGACTGGGCACACTGCCATGTGCTGTACATTGAGCATCTCACCCCAGGTCATTATTTTCAGAGTTCTCTGCTGGAAGAAGGTTAGATTTTTTTTGACCAGAATTACCTTCTGGGCTTTTGTGGGGCAGCGTCCCAGAGAGAGGAGCACTGACATAGCAGGGCCCCAAGAGATCTGCTGGTCACTGAACTGGGGGATGATCAAAGTCAATGTTGGAAGCCCCTGAACCAGGGATTAGAACTGTCTTTGGGGTTTTTTGCTGCTTGAAAGTTAACCAAGTAGCTGGGATTTCTGTGTCATTCTCTGTAATTGTGACTACTACTCTACCGCTGCTACCATTCCTCTAATGAATAGTGATGAAAATTATTTTTTTTTCCCCAGAAAATAACCAATTCACCCCAGAAGTTAATCAGCTGCAGAAGGGAAGAGGTGGAAGCCTGTGCCACAGCTGTGCTGTCTTCTGAGGAACCCTTCAGGGCCTGGCTCTAGCAGGCTGGGGAAGGTTTCCATTGAAATTGAGAATCTGATTGGCACAGCACAGGAGCCATGAGGGGAAAGGCCCTGCAGCTGTTTTCCGCCACCGACAAAGGACAAGAAAAGCAAGAAGAGCCTGCTGTGTCCGCGTCTAGAGGCAACTGTCAGAGGCAGACTGGTTTGGCAGACAGAGCACTGAGTGGGGGTCAGGAGATGTGACCTCTAGAACTAGGTCTGTCTGCCCTTCACTGACTGAGTGACCCTGGAGAAAGTAGCTTGGTTTCTCTAGTCCTCAGTTTTCTCATCTCTACAATGGGGGAATTAACCATACAACTGTGAAACCACTATACATATCTGGCCCTTGCAGAGCTTTGGGAAACTGGCAGCACTGTACATTGTGATTGGTTCAACTTTTCTGCAGAGCAGGATATAAATTGTAACAAGAATGATAAAAACTCTTTACACCAGTTGGCTTGGAGAGCCCACTTTCCTAGAGGAAACCTTGATGAGGAAAGGAAGGATGGGTACAACAGTGTTGACTTCACTTCAAACCAAATGCCTGTGCGGGGGCTAATGGCTCAGCCAGCTCTACAATACATGACCTAGAAGGAGGCCACAGGCCCATGGAAAATGGGACGTGCTGTGCATACATGAGATATTGTAAAAGGTAAATAACATATGCACACTGAAGGCAGCAGGTAGAATGTGTGTGTTTGAGGAGAGGAGAATGCAGAAGGATGTTGATAATAAATGTGGTGTTTGCTGTGTTCCTTTCACCTGTAGAGTTGTTAAAGTATAGCATTAAAAAGAAAAAGGGGTCACCTTGGGTAATCTTTTTGGTTTCTTCCAAAAAAGTGGTCTTTGGTGTTCTAGTTACATCATCAAACTGAGAGGCTCCTGAAGGCCACCACTGGTCAGGAGTTGTGGGGGTGACCCCAGGAAGGGGATGTAGGAGATGGGGCAGGGAAAGAGTGGCAGGCAGCTCTGGCCTCATGAGAACCCTGACCGGTACAGCTGGCCAAAGCCTCACCTGGTCAGCGTGCTCCACTGGAAATCCCTTTGGGTACCTCTCCTCCTTAAGACAGCTCACTCAGGGTGTCCTCAGCCCCTTCCAGCATGTTCATCCAGGACCCACCTTTGGAAGCCTCTTCCTTCCCCTCTCCCCACCAGGTGAGGAAAAGAGTCAGGGTTAGAGAAGGAAAGGAGAGGGAAGTTTCTTGAGAAGTGAAGGGATTGATGGGCAAGGCCTGTGCCTCCCTTCTTGGCCCCCAGCTTTGGAGCCTCTGAGTTGGTTTGTCTCCACACCAACTTCCTGGGCCCCTTCCAGCCAGCCCAGAGGTGCGGACAATCTAACTACTTCAACCAGGTGTTTCTCCTATAAGATAGAGGCCTACAAGCCCCTCTCTTCCTGGTGGGGTCTCAAGTAGCCAGAGGGTGGGCTCTCCAGAAGGATGGTGGTGCTGAAGATCTTTTCCTTTGTACCATTTGTATGCTTCTGTGTAGTTGGACTTTTTCATGAAGAGAATGTGTTAATTTTATATTTAGCCTAAACTGGGAACATATTTTCAGTGTGCAAAAATAAAAGCTATACTATACTGGTCATCACTCTCCCCCGTCCCACTTCCTTGCCCCTCCACCCTGGGACTGCCATCCCTTTGTCACCTGTCCAGGCCTAGAACCCAGAAATCACCCTTGATTTCCCTCTGCTTGAGTGCCTCTCACAATTTGCCCCAGTGCTTATCCATTCCTGCTGGCATATATCTGTATATAAAAATTTCTCTCTATTATTCTGTTGTCTTCCCAGTTCCTAAACATGCATTTACTGAGGTCCAACCATGCATCAGAGATTGAGCTAGTTCCCCATAGTAGAGGGGCTCCCTCCTCTGTAGCTGGTTATTCCCTCCTGGAGTGTTTATATCCTGACTCCCCGGGCCTCCTCTCCTTTTACCCCCATCACCTGGCTCTTTAAACTATGACACTTTAAGGAGTGAAAAGGGGCACAGTTAATAACTACAACAGAACAGGAAGACTGCGCATCTCTGCACTCAACCCCGTAGAAAACCCCTGCCCCCAGAATCAAGCCCAGCTCTCTCAGCCCTGTCCTCAGGGAACAGCTTTCAGAGTCCAGTTGAACAAAACCCCCCTGCTTCATGAAGCTTACATTTCCACTGGGGGAAGGGGAAAGAATAACAGCAAAATAATACAAAACCAAATAATGATAGCAATTACTTTTTTTAAAGTGAATTATCTGGTATATTGGGAGTGTACAAGTCCTATGAAAAACGAAAAGGTAGAGCAGAAAATGGGGGGTGGGGGCAGGTTGCAGCCTCCTCTAAGTGAAAGTGAATGGAAATGAGTGGACCACAACTATCTCTCAGTTCCCTCCTTATATAGCCACACGGGGTGGGGAGATTACAAGTGGCTCTAGAACAGAGTACTTTGGCAACAAATCTTTAGGAGTCTGCAGTCTAAAACAAAAACTTTATTTAGTATTTGTACTATTTTTATTGATAGTGTATTTTTGTTTGCTTTTGGAGCTATTCTCATAAGTTGTCAGATAGTGCAAGTAAATAATTATGTTTATTTTGATAGGAACCTAGATTTCAAGATTGGTGAAAGGGAAGGCTAACTGTAGACTCACAGATTTGAGTGGGAGCAGCGTGTTGTTAGAACTGAATCGAGCATATCAGTATGAAGTCATGCCTTTGTAAAACATGTAATTAAAAATATATTTCTTTTCTGGCTTTTTTTCCCCCATCAAAATGGCCCAGTAGCAATGTTACCCCATAACAATGCACCCTGATGCCTACATTATGGTTTTAATTTCTCTCCCAAAAGGAACCAGGGTTTCTTTAAACAATGTCTGATCCCATGTCTGGTCTGGGGCAGAAGACAATGAGGCAATCTCAAAACACCTAACATGTTGCTGGGCCAGAAGCAAAGCTTGAAATAACCGGGGCATTTGAAAGCTAAAAGGGTCCCCACCGGCCAAAGTTGGGGCAGCGTGAGCATCAAAATGAGAATATTGGCTGACATCAGCACATCTGAAATGTCATGAGCCCACAATAACACATAAAAAGAGCAGAGCTGGTACAGTGAATTCTCAGAAAAGACAGACAGAATGCCTTTCAGTTGAGTCTTGTGATGCAGTCCTGTTGGGTTTATTGACTCACCACGTCAATGAATACTGGTGAGTGTAAATACCTCAGTCAGAAGGCGTTGTTCTCCACTGCCACCAGTCCCTGGTCCAAGCTGCGACCCTCTCCCCACGGGACATCTGCAACAGCCCCTTTACTGGCTGCTCCTCACTTCCAGGTCTTCCGTACTTGCCCGTCTCCTGTCCTGCCAGGGATTCCCCGGGGACGTGCCTTTATTTTCCTTTTACAGAGGTTTCGTAGGTCCAGTTTGTCTGTCTAGCCTCTGTGCTACTTCTCTCCATCTTCTACATATATATATATGTGTGTATAGTATCTATATCATATATATATATATAATATACGTATATATATATATCTTATTTTCTGTGTGCCCTATTTTATCCGTAGGCTAATTCTCTGTGGATGCAGAGCTCTCAGTTTCCTTTGAATCTGGCCTGACTTGATTGATCCCTTCAGGGAACTTTCGCAAAGCTTCTGGAACCCACCTGGAAGGGGGACCTCATTAAGTCCGCGGGTGTCTGGCGCCACCTTGTGTTGAGTTTTGGAAAAAGTCCTTCTTCTGTTCCCACGGAGCCAAGTTTCAGGGATGGAGAAAGAAAAACTCAAGACACATTTCCTAGAATGAGAACTCAATTACAGAACTTCCATGGGCTTGGCCCCTAACAAACCTCCACTGTCATTAGTGGATTCAGAATTTAGTGGCCGCCATATCCTCACTCGGGCTCTGTCTCCAGCACATCATTAGTGGCTTCACTCTACCCGTGTGGCTTTCTTTCCCTCCCTACTCGGCCCTTGCCTCGGCCTCACTCTGTGTCCGTCTTTCCTCTGTGCTATCCTTCCTTATCTCTTAAAAAAAAAAAGTTTTCTGAATTTTTATTTTTTCTGTGTGTCATATTTCTAGCCTATTCTTGGACTAGACTGACTTTCTGGGGTTTTCCTCAGGCCATGGTTCACGAGAGGGTAGTCATATCAAACCACTGTGACACCTACCCTGTAAAATTTGAAAATGGCATACAAGATCTGACCCCAAATTACAGTTTTGTCTTGTGGGTTCCAGGGACCCCAAGGTCCTCAAGCATCTAACAAAAAAGCCTGGAAAAATCCATTCTTGCCTGAAGTGGGAGCAGGCATATGTGGGAGCAGGAGGCTCCCAAAAGGAAGACAGAGCCCTTCCTGCCTCCCTCAGTGAGAAGCTGCAAGCCCAGGAGAGGTTGTAAAACCCCATTAAGGATCCTGGAGGGAAAACTGAGCAGGAGCGTTCTTGGGTACCTGCAAAAAGCCTCAAGAGCAAAAGCACAAACCCTCTGACTGTGAAGGAGGCACTTGACCCTAGTCCCTCACTGGACCCCCTTGGGGAAATTTTTAAAAACTACTGAAAAAATCCTGGCTGTTAGAAAAATGAGTGTCTGTACAAACTTCAATAACTGCCACATTTTGCTCCTGTATTTTAAACCACTCATCTATGAAGGGACCCCATGGCTCCTCATTTCCTGGACATGCCAGAGTCATGTCTCTGCCAAACTGCCTCAGTGCAAGATGAAGCCTACAGACACCATCTTAGGTTTTTAGCCTTAGGAAATCCTACCCCAGAACTAGGGCCCTCGGATATCATCCCACCTACATTAGTGAGGCCGAAGGGCCTTCGCAGGTGAGGCTCCTGTCAGGAAGTTAACGCCCCACTCTCTCACCTTCACGTTTGAGTCTTGCAATTGGAACTAGATCAAAATGGAATAGCGCCTTCTCCTCAGATTAAGCCTACATTATGGAGGATTGCCAATGGGGTGAAGAATTACTCTATTTTAAATGAAGAGTTTTAAGTTAGCAGATGGCAGAGAGTAGATGCTGCAATTTAAATATGTGTAACTGTAAGCAGTTCCGTTTCAGTTCCTGAGATAAACTGTCAGAAAAAAGGATTCATCTCCTTCCTTCCTTTCCCTTCATTTTTTTTCTTTCCTTCTTCCTTCCTTCCCTCCTTCCCTCGCCGCAAGTTGAAGAACTGCTAGTCAGCAGCTTGGGTCTGAGGTGTGGTTCTAACCATGCG